AATAACATAAATTTAAGTTTGAAATAAATGAAATATATAGTGTTTTAGGGTGACAGGTAATTAATCAAGAATTGTCAAATTGTGGAATTTTCTTCCTGCTAACTGCGCCTAATTTGCATGACCTGGACGTATCACTTGATGACATAACTTGATCAAATAATACGCTTCGTGATTTTAAATAACCTTTCCTAATAACTACTCATGTTCATGACCTTTTTTACGTGTTACTTTCTTTTGTTAAGAGACTGTTCAAATCTTTCACCCAATTCTTAATTAGTTTGCTTGTTTTCTTATTCTTGATCATTTACTCTTTTAGCATAACCTTGATATCTGTTGATTAGCTCCACTTTATGCACTGCTGTATGGCTCTTTATGCTTCATTTTAGGCTATTGGTGAGCAAATAGGGGGCTTAACCATGACTAAATAAATGATTATAATGAAACAGCCACCATTCATTTATTATTGATTACTTCAGAATGTTTAAAAGGCTATATCTAAAAAAAAAATAATCAGTCTAGTCACACCTTATTTAAAGAAGCAAACTCAACTAAATAGAACTTCAGGAAATTGCTACAACCAACATTTTAAAGGCGCTTCAGAAAGCAAAACAAGTATTAAAAAGTGTATTCATATATATATATATATACACATATATATACTTTATATGCTCATTTAAGTATATAATCTCCTCAGCCCCTCTATTAGGGATTATTTACTCTTTAATTTACAAGTAATTCTAACAATTTGTGTTCTAATTCATAGACAAGAAATATGAATTGAAGGAGAGACTGCTAAAGGCAGATTCAGTGCTTGTTACAAGGAAAGACTACTGATAATCCTTAAGAGAAGTAAATAAGATAGTAAATGCAATAATTTTTTTTAAAGCAAGCAGTGAGTCCATTTAGAAATCAATATGTAACACATTCAGTAGTAATATACTGTGGCCAGATAGTACATTTTACAAATGATAAATGTTAAAAATTGAAAATAGCATTAGGCTTAATATTCTCTGCTTAATAGTGTATATAAATTATCTTAGAGAAATTTCCACACAATATATTCCACACATTGTTTTATAGTTAATATGTGATGATGGGAAAAAAACTAAGTTATAGTTAACAATTCCTTATATGCTACAGCTAATTTTCTGACAGTATCAGATAAACCTATGACGATATCCTAACATAGGGGAAAAAACCTTTCTAGAACATTAAAATAATTTTCCTGCTACAGTAAGAGAATGATGCTTAAGAAAATTGGGAAACTAACTTAGAACTAGCAGAAATATATTAAACAACAATATAACCAAAATCTCTTATTATTGCATAAAATAGTATATACTTATGTGCAAGTAGAGGTTTAAATAAATATATTTTGGAAATAGACAAGATATCCTACACATCTTCACTTTTGCAAATTATTTGCAATTATTTATTTGCACATCTTGGAAATATCATGTACCTCCATGCTGATACTCTGTTGTTATCTCACCTTCTAGTCCTAGGATATGCAGAAAATGCTTTCTTCTTAGTCATAGCTCAGTCCTACTCATGCTGAGTAGTTCTCCTTTGTCATTAGCCAAAATACAAACATTTTTCTTGTAGTTATTTTTGGGTGAGCTGGTTTTACCTAATCATTCTTTCTGTATTTTTTTCCTAATTTCAAGATGTCATTTCTATATACATTACACCATCTCCTCTTATTTAATTCCCTAAGTCCATCAAAGAGCCAGAAAGTGTTTCATGAAAGAATTTGATATTATGATTTGGAAATTAGAATTCCAAATAAATCACAATGCTCACCTTTTAGAATAAGCAAATGTTTCAGATAATTGCATATATTTTATTTGTTGTTATAAATCAACTTATTAACATACAGGAAGAGATTCTTCAACTTCAGTGAGTTCTCTTAAGAGTGACAGAAATTGATGTGGCTCTCACAAATCACCAATACATCTGAATAAAGATGAATTCATAGTTAATAGAAGTAATTTGAATTCATTGTATTTTGGACATGAATGTAATATACGGCTTTTTATTGGCAAGTGACTAATCAATATATATCACATTGTGAAGGATTTCTTCCTGCCAACTGTTTCTGACTTGCATGACCCTGATTTAAAATATGTTGTACTAACTTAATACAGATAATTTGCTTTCTTGGTTTAAATACATTATATCAGTGGAAATATTCAAATGAGCAAGAGAAGTTTCAGAGTTAAATATATTCATTCTCAGACCTGAATTCAGCACTGTATGCCTGGGTAATTGTCGGCACTTTATAGCAAAACACTTAGCTGAGATCAATTGTAGCTTTCTCAGTAAAATCCCAGAGCTCATCTCTAGGAAGAACATGTGGTTAAAGCGAAGGGGGAGGCGGACATAACATGTTAAAAATTGCTTAGCTGGGTTTGACATTTTACCTTTTAAATATTAATTATACTGTGGGCTTCTTCCTATTTACATACCTAAGTGTTTTCTTGGGACATAAATGCTACTAAATTGTCTTGAGAAAGCCATAGAGCAGCTTTGTTAGATAAAACTTCTTGCAGCTGGTAATTTTTGGCAATTAATATTATGAATGCTAATGCAATGGGGAGTAGAGAAGGTGCTTCCAGGATGCCACTTATCTCTGTAAAACGAAAGAAAATGTCAGAAGTGGTGAGCCTGCTGAGAGTATTACTTCTGGGAAGGAAATAGATGGCAAATGTTAAAATTATCATATTTATGGACAGGCTAGAATTTTAAGACCACAGTATCTAATAAATAGTCTTGTAAATAGGGTTTATTGTAAATATTTTTAAGTGATTGTTTTGGGTTGGTTATTATAACAGTGAAGACCTTTTTAAAAAAATATACTAAATGTGTATCTGTTCTGGAGTAAAAATTGAAGCATATTCACATAAATCAACTCATTGAATTATCTTAATGATTTGTGGGTAATTAGGGGGCAGTTTCATTGATGCTTAAAATTAATATTTGAGATAAATATTTAAATGAAATATTTATTAGGACAGAGGTGAGTTTGGTATCCATAAAAATGTAAAAGCCTCAAATCATGAGGAAAAAAATATTCTGAGCTATAAGAATCTATTACTTAAATATTAGATGCCAACATAGATTTCAAAGTATTTACAGTCTCTTATACTTTCCAAGTGAGTAAAAAAAGTAGCTATGCTATCACTGATCATTAGGCTATATAATTTAAACCAGACTGACTCTTCACTGGAAATAATGCAGGAGGAAGGCAGCAACTCAAGCATTATTAACACATGAGTTGTTTACACATCAAACTTGAAAATATATTATCCTTCTGTACATTTTCTGTTTATGATTTGAATGACTCTGTGTTTCAGTTTATGCTATTTTCTCCGAGGTTTCAAATTTCCAAGTAAATTATTTTGTAATGACTTAGTAAATATACAGTTTTAAATATCCTGTATTGCATTTTTGAGTCTGCCATGGGCTTGAGCTATGTGACTACGAGAAATAGCATTTTGTCAGTAAGGGAGAAGGTCTTCTTTTCATGTGGGGTGTTAAAACGCAGAGATAAGAATGAGCTTATTATATTTAACTATTCTACTATTGTCATTTGTAAGTGAAGATATAACAATGAGGAATATTACTGCAATAAAATAAGCATTCCTAATTTTGTGTTTCCAGTTTCAGTGATCATATCCCATAGGCTCACAAGCACATTCACAAAAGTCATGTCGTGTATACTAATACATGGTTACAACATATAAAAAGCATATGAAAAGTGAAAAGTGATAAATTAAGAAAACATCATTTTTATTTTAATTCATTAAACATCTGTTTTATACTTTCAGATCTGTAAAATAGGGAACAAAAAATACTACTCTGTTCTCAACATACTCATTTTTTTTTCAGAAACAATTTTAAATGAGTGTGGGTTCAAGAAAGATAAATACAAGACATCATATAGTAAAGGGTTAATTTGAATAGTGTAATAGTGTATAGGGGGAAATTCCTATTATTATTTTCAGTTAATTTCTAGTATTGATATTGCAAGGTTTATAATGTGCTTCAGCTTGAAATTCATCATTGGATCCCCAAAGTTCCTTTGGAAGGAGGGAAAAGAACCAATGAAATGTGTATGATATCTCTCTATATGATATGTTTATTGTGAGATTATAACAGCAAACAATTTTAATGCAATTCTAAGGGAATGGATACAATATGAAATGGAATGCCATGGAGGAATAAAATACATATTTAGAATACATTTCAAAGCAAAATGTTCATATAGTATTGCCAGGTGAATAAAGCTGGTTACAAAATACACAAAATGTGATATTAACTCTATAAAAAATAGGCAAAATAAAAAACATTAACAAGAAAACTGCATAGTTATTTTCATGGGAAAAGAATCCCAAGGATAAAAAAAACTATCTTTCTATTTCTACTTCTTAGTAGTATCCAACTTGTCTGCAACGACTCATGTAACTTCTAGTACCAGAAAAGTAAAATGTAACAACGAGAGAGAGAGAGAGAGAGAGAGAGAGAGAGAGAGAGAATGAGATTCTTATAAGATTTCAGAGAATAAACACATTGATTTGATAAAGGGGAAAATAATTGATAGTGGAGAATTTCTCATTATAGTGGAGTTATAGATCAGAAAATAGAGGTGTTACTGCTGGATAAAGGGAGAAAGAGGAAATGGGAGCAGAAAGAAAATTCTGTATTGTAAAGGTATAGTATGCTATTAAAGTAATTCACTATTCTTCAATAAGGAAAATTCTTTCAGATAAAATTATTCCATATTAAGTTTTATCCTTATTGTTCATTGGAGTTTGAGAAGTAGCGCTTAAGGTAGTAAATACTTGAGGACCTATGATGGAACTTGAAGGCTTTATGAGAACTTACCTGTGGATCTCAAATGTGACTGCATATTAGAATCACCTGAGGAACTTCAAAAATGTTCATTCCAGTCTCCTTGGTAATTTGACTTTTAAATTCTATGTGGTTGATTCCAAGGATAAGTATTTTAAAGTAGTTTCTAAGCAATCAAAATATGCAGCCAGGTTGAGAACTACTGATGGCAGAGCGCTCAATCCACAGATGGGGACTATTGGATCTATAGTCCTGAATGGAGGAGAGCTGGAATTTGACCAAATAAACATGAAGATTTCATCTTGGTTACTGAGTAGGTGAGTGGTATTATGAAAGTCCCATTCTAACCTTAGTTGGTAGTTGTGAAAAATTTGAGTGAAATGCAACTAGTCTTAGTGAAATTTCAAGGTGTCAATCTAGAATCAAGATGGAAAGGGGAGAAAAGACATAGCCTCTTTTTGTTTTACCTAAAAAATTGAAAAATTAGAGCTAGCTAGCAATGGTAGTGATTGTCTCATGATTGGATGAATTGCTTATCAGAGAAAATGTTACAAATAGGCTGCATTAATAACCATGTAATTGGGATCTTTCAAAGTATTTTCTGACATTTGGTGTGGGGGGACATTGTATAAAATTAACTCTTTTAAAATTCAAAATTAAATTAATATTCTTTTAAACTTCAAGATCAAAAGGGAAGTGGAAAATTATGAATAAAAAAGAATTGAGAACATTGTAGTGACTCAAAATTGATAATTTTCTTTCCCTCCTCCCTTTTGTGAATATCTACTATATACCATAGCTTACAAAAGTATACCCCTAATATGCTCCAGTGGTGAATCTTTGTATCTTCAGAGCACCATGTGACCATGGGTTATATGGACTTAGAGGGGAAAATCATGAACTAAAGTTTCAGAAATACTGAATTTAATGTGAATTTGTATATTCAAGGATGATTAATTGGAATACAATTTGAAACTTGGGACTTGATATTAGAGAAAGAAAATTTTGGAGAGAGATGCTATGGAGATAGTAAAAGCAGTAAACCAATGTTGAACTCAGTAAGAAGAATCTACCACAAGAGGAAAGGGGGCAGAATAGCTGGGTCCTTCCTTCAGATGTATATGATTAAAGTACACGTGCCAAGAATTGGTGGAGGGTCTCGGTTTTTGGGGGGCACCAAGAAGACAACATTATCCCCTCTATGATTTCATAAACAAACGCACAAGCATCAGGGGAACACCATGAATGAGTGACAGAAATCTAAACCCCTTATTTCACTTATATTTACAGTAAAATGACTGAGCCAAGCAATAAACTAGCCTGAAGGTTTTTTGAAATTGTGGTCTCTTTGTCTTGCAATGTACATAAACTGATTATGTCCTTAACAAATGTTTGAAAAGAAATATTTTAATCCCGATAGCATAATATGGACTCTTGGTTTTGAAAAAAAAAATGTAGTATCTATATCCTAATTTTTAATATTACCCAGCATTGCACATAAAAATGAGACTTTGGAGATCTTGGAGAAAGGGTAAACTTAAAATTTACCTAAGTTTTCAGTAGAATGCAAGACAATTTTTCAGTCTCAATTCTTGGTGCTGAATACAGAGGCTAAATTATCCCTAAGAATGTGTTACCATAATCTGGCCCTCAGATTGATCAGCAGAGAAAATTCATATTACCTGTATGGTCCAAAACACGTCAAGCTGAGAATTTAGTTTAAAACGGCCATGAATAATGCCCCCGGGTGCATGGCAAAAGCAAACAGACCCCTCACAGAGGGAAAAGGCAAAGGAAAAGTTGAATAAAACAACTCAAAGAGGCTGCATATAGGAAGCACAATTAAACATGAGGCTGCAGAAGGGTGGAAAATGACAAAAACAAAAATAATATGCCAGAGATATATTAGTTCCAAAAGGGAGCTGGCATTGCTATGCTAATTTTAGTATAAAATATACTCAATGACATAAAATTGTATTGAGGTAAAGAAGGTCAATTTATGATTGTAAACATTTCAATCTACTAGAAAGAGACAAGTTTTAAATTTGTAGGACTCTAACAATATAGCCACAAAATAAATTAAACAAAATTTGACAGAACTTCAGAGAAAAAAAGAGATGTTACATACATATTTTAATAACTGATAGATCAAGTAGGAAAAAGTCAGGTATGAAATATAGAAACCCTCAATAATAATCACTTGACGAATTCTTGCTGTATTTTATTTATGCAAATAAAATAAATAATATATTTTGAGATTAACATCTCATTTGCAAACTCCCTACATATAGTCTGTGTTGTTCCTACAATTGGAAAAAAAAATCCTAAGACCTTGAGAAAAGTACTCAACCAGGTATCCAGGGAACATATTGGGCAAGTGATAGAAGAGAAAAATTAGGCTTTTGCCACGTTAGTCTTTGTCTTTGAATCCTAGACCCTTATTCCCAGGGAAGAATAGTATCATATTAGATAAACATTATTAAAGGTTTTCAGGTCTAGTCAAAAATTCATTTTGAAAGCTTTGAAATGAAATTGAAGAAAATTCTGACAGCATTTGTTCTACATTTGACATGGCTGTTTCAGTGTATTACAAGATATAGAAATTTGATGGCCCGTAAAAATAGCTCAGATAGTCCTTTTCATTTCTTTTTAACTGAATGAGGTTGACTTTTATTCCCCTCAAAATTTACTTTTTTATATTGGTGGATATGGAAATAAGTGGATTAGTATTTGTGTGTATACGTGTGTGTGATTTCATTTCTTTTTAACTGAATGTGATTTACTTTTATTCCTCTCAAAATTTATTTTTCATATTTGTGGATATGGAAATATGTGGATTAGTATTTGTGTGCATGTGTGTGTGTGTGTGTGATTTTTTTATGGAGTCTTTATAGTAAATGTTAAACCTCAATTTTTTAAGTAAGTAATTTCCTCATTTCTGATGAACCAAGGCATAGAAAAATTAAGAATCCCTTTCTTCTTTAACAAACTTTTGTTTTCTTCCCTGGTTCTTTTCTTCTAAAGTGCTTGGTCTTTGTTTGCACTGCTTCTAAGACTCTTAGCATATGATGCTTTGTGATATATTATCACATGCGTGACTTCCAATTCTACACTTACAATTCCTTTATGACATACAAAGTGCCTTGCCTATTTTTAATACTCTGAGATCCTCATATTGTTCTCTGCACTTATCAAATGTTCAAAAATGCTTGTTGAATGGTTGGGTGCATGAATGTATGCATAAAAGACTAACTAGATAGAATATAAGTCCCCTAAGCTTAGTGAATACAACTATTTGGCACAAGACATCTTTCTTTCTCTACTGTACTGGCTGCCTTCCCAGAGCCCAAGCTAGTGCTGAAGACGAGGCCTGAAACCATCCCAACTCTTTGACAGAAGCACTGGGGGATTTTAATCATGAGAGTTCTTCCTTGGGAATTGAAACCACATGCAATGGTTACAGTAAACTAGTGAAATCATTTGCAGAGTTATAAAAGCATTGTAAACAATATCCAAGCACTTCAGAAGGAAGAACTAGGGAATAAAATAGAGGATTATTTTAAAAGATAAAAGTCTTTCTTAATGCTTGCATGCTGTGGTTAATCATAACTGAGGAAATATCTACTTAAAAATGTTTATTCTGCTATAACCTCTACCTTACAAAATTAATCCATGTTTTTGTTTTCATCCCAATAATGCCTCTTCTAATAGGTGAGTCCTTCACATGTTGGGCTATACAAACAGTAACATATTGAAACAGTCCTGGATACCCTTTACTCTAAACTACTAGCCTTTACCTGAAGACACACACACACAAACACACACACACACACACACACACACACACATGCATACCCACAATTGTAGTTGAGTTTTACCCTGTAAAGATTTCAAATTTTATTTTTACCAAAAATAAGTAATATTTCCTAGAACTATCCATATATGCTGGATAATTCCACTTGAATTTTCACACAAAGATAAATACATTTGGTTTATTAATGCATACTTGTAAACACATTCAACATGCAGGTTTTATAAATGTACACACCTACACTCATGCCATAAGTAGCATCCACTTAACACAATGGAGTGCCTCAAAGGGAGGAACAAGCAATAGCTTATATGTGGGTTTTACATGAGTAGCTCCCAAATGTTTATAGCATATAAACATATATTCCTTCATGCATATTTCATATCTATATGTGTGTATATAAAATGATGATAAATAGAAGAATGGATAAAGCGGAGTTATATAAATGTTTTATAAAACCTTGAATGTACTGTGTAGTCAATATTTATTAGGTGCTAATTTTGGTATCAATATATCTATTGATACTAATATATCATTTACTTCAATCTAACATATTTTAGTCACCAATCTCTTTTTTTATATTTTGTCTACCAGTTTTATCGATGTTAAAAAAATGAGTATTTTAATAACTCTCAAAACAACTGCATTCATGATTTTTCAGCATAAGTGTTTAAAATATAGTGCTATTGTATTCCAGGTGTTCATTATTTTTTAAAAAAAATAATAAAAGAAAGGAAAATTTAGGTTTTCTGCTTTCTATTTTTGATGGTAATGTCATTTAGGCAATAGTTTTTTCTTGTTGGATGGTAACCATAACTTTATTTATTTCATATATATGTGTGTATGTATATGTGTATATGTACATAAGTATATATGTACACATTGCCACATTAAATCCGTCTGCTATCCTCTTTACATTCATTTGCTGTTTAGCAATGGAAGATTAAATAGTTGCATGTGAATGTCTTAGGGCGACTGTGGTTTTCAACTCAGTTAATTACTCTATTGTCTCTTTGCTTGTTTTCTATTTATTTACTTTCAATACTCCAGATGCTGATTATCAATTGAACCTGTACCACTCAATTCAACTTCTATTACATTTTCTTCTTGATTTTCTTCCTTTGAATTCTACATAAGTGCCCATGAACGAATGAATGCACATTCTGTTTTCCCTTAATGCTCTTGAACAATGTACTGTCAAAATAACTGCAGTTCCTTGATTAGTAAATCTGACTTTTTTCTTTGACCATTTTAAAGTTTGTTCTTTTCATTGTCTTTTCAGTTTTGCACAATATGCTGTTACATCTGTCTGTTGAACTGTTATATCATACAATTACAAATTCTTTTTTGGGAGTTCTATTTTGTTCTTTGAAAATATCCTAGAACATTTTTGTAATCTCTTGCTCCTTGATTGACTTTTTACTTCCTAATTATATCTACATTTATGTACACTAATTTTATATTCTGTAGTTGCTGATTCCATATTTGAAGTTGTTGTAATTTACT